AGCCAGGACACAAAGTGTGATGCGTTATATTACTTTGCTTATGTATCAGTGGGATCTCAAGGGAATACACGCTGATCTGGAGGAATCTAGGCACCTAGGGTGAAGCCGTACCATCATGGTCAGCCGGTTGATAGTAGGACATGAACTATAGTGAATTCATTGACATACTGGATCAGTGCGAGAATGAGGGGCTGATTGAGATGAAGGGTATGTGAGTTACAAAATCCAGTTGAGAACTGAAAGATGCGAAGTAATATTTGGGGATTATTTGGGATAGGAGCGGAGCCCCGCGGACCATAAATAGGGGAGCGGCGCCCCTTTCTGTCATTAATATAGCTTATCCAACGTTGGTCCTAAGGAAGCAACCATGCAAAATTTGCAACAATCGTTGATTTTGGTCAGGAACTGAGTGCAGGGCGCAGCCTATGGAGGGTTGCCATGTGATTCTGATTTTTTTTGTCTGTGTGTGTTTTTTCTGAGTGGTGCAATCCCAGCACGTACGAGGTAAAGTACTGAAAGCGTGTCCAACTAAGAACGCCCGCGGACCCCAAACACGCTCAAGTACTGGGTATTTATAGTGTGTCCTATTGGGAACCCCTGCGAGGCCCCAAGCGTACTCTATATATTAAAGCTCATAACATAAAATACAGGACAGCCTACGGGGTTCCAGCAAAGCACCATCAATAACAACTGAGGTGTTGGATTCCAGCTACTTACTAACATAATCACATAACACACCAGAGTTGTTCCATTCTCGGCAACTGGTGTTGCTATACAATATAGCAACATATTCGTGTGAGCATTGCAAGGAGCTTAGGGGTGCCGGCCCCCCAGCCATTACGTATGTACAATAAAATCTATCAATCGAGGTGCTAAATGACGGTCGACGTGAATCCACGACCTATGCGATCGGTGGGACGAGTTGTTGCCTGATTGATTGTCGGTTGGCTGTGGCGAACTTCAATCGATGTGTCATTTAAACTGACTAGGATTGAGATGCATCGGTGGAGGCATTGTAGCTTTATTGTTCAGCCCCGTTTGCTTACGATCACTGAATTGAAGTGCCTCGTTTCGGCAGCACCTGACTGAGGAAGTGGGGTGGAAGTCATGGAACACTATGACGATTTTTTGCCTTCGCTTACAAAGATCAATGGCAGAAATAATGAGTAAGAAGCATTCATAGTGCCTCGAATATTGAGATTTATATGAAAGGGTTGGGTCCTCACATCAGTGAGCTGGCAGCAGCACTTTGCCAGCCCTCCGGGCAGCTGCATTTGGAAGCTGGTTTAAGAACAAGAAAAAATTAGAGTTGTGGCAATCGTAGGGGTTTAAAAATTGGGATGCTAAAAGGCATTATAAACAATGGGATCAAATCCAAAAGCTGTGAATAGATCCGTTTGAGGGGCTATCTTGATAATCGAACAAGCCATGAGCTGTTTGTCGCCGATCGGCAGCTTCCCTGTGCATCACCTGACTTCAGTTCAAATTTAGTGCAATTATGTAATCTCTTGACGTCCATGGTTTCAGCCCCCCCCTCCCCTTCCGGCATAAAATTACTGGCTGCACCAAATCGGTGACTGCTGCCACCAAGTCACGTGCACATCATGTCCAACTCCCTCCAAACTAACCTAATCTAAACCTAAACCCTAAAACCTAAACCTGTCCTAACCCTAACCCTAACCCTAAAGCTCACCCTGAAACTAAACCTAACCCTAAAATTGTGGTTAGGACAAAGTGTGCACGTGACTTGGTGCAAGCAGTCACCGATTTGGTGCAGGCAGTAATATTATTTCCTCCCCTTCCCCCTCCCCTCCACCCCGCTAAGCGTATGCTGAGCGCAGATTCTCCCTATGAATGCCTTTTGGCGTATTCAATTGGCAGATAGGATTCATTCAATTCCTTATCAATGTACTTGATTAAATCTGTTGGATTCGATGTACTATTGGAGCACCGATTATCCTTTTTGAACTTCGCTAGACACAATAACTCGCTACCGTTATTATTGACGCCTTACTGTCACCGCTTTAGCCCCTAGCTCTCGCTTTGTAGGTCCAGAAGAGCATGTTGCAGCTCCCACTCCAGTGGGCTCAAATTTCGCCAGGCCAGGGCAGCTGAGCGGGTAGTAATTGCCACGGAGACTGCGGCAGGTTACAAATTTTCGACCCCTGCAAAAGCGGCAGGATTCGCAGCTGTCACGGTGTGCACGTTTGCCACAGCCCGCTCAGTAGCCACCACATTGCCGAGCCCCTGGGAGCCATGCAACGCTGATCCGAGCAAATCCAGAGAGCTTGACAGTTTTAGCGAGGAACACCAGAAGACAGGAGCGGGAATTGCATGACATGCGACGACTGTTGATCGCCTGAGGGACCGGGCGTGGCCAGGGTCATGCAGGGTCACTCCTGTACCGTGAATGCATCAGTAGCAGCAACAGGCATTTTGCGGTAGCTGAGAACACCACACCGCTGGTTATCGTCTGGCAGGGATTTACTGTGGTCCAAACAGCGGCGCAGGCGATTGGGGCCAGCACGACCGCCCATCCATTGGCAACTGTTCAGGGCAGCAATGGCCGGCAGTGCAATCACGATGTGGCGGCTAGCTGGTGCCACGGGTGGGAGGGCCTGATGGCCGTACTGCGCAGCAGACACCACATGAAGTAAACAGCGTCTCACGGAGCCGCATTGCAGGTAACTCGAGCACGTAGGCTTCAATGGGCTCGGGTATAGAGTTTTGTTGCCCTCCATAAGACTGGTGTATCCGCGGCTCAGGAGCGGCGACCATTACATTGCGACTCCCTTCTATGTAAGCCATGAAACTTGACCGTCAAGTTTCATTTCCAGATGGTAGTGACTACCATTATGGATACCAAACCCTTGCCGGAATACCGCCATCGCCTGCAACAGTGGCGCCATTTACCGTGCCGGCGTCTGCACGAGGTCGCATCACAGCCCAGGGGTAGCTGCCACCCTGTGCTGAGCAACGCAGAAATCAAATCTGCAAGAAGCCTACTCTGTCGCCCGTTTTGATGCTTCAACTTTGACGGACAGTGCAAAGGGCTGCACAGAGCCGTGCACAATGAGGACAGGCCTGCAGCAGCCCTCTAACGGCCACAGGCCTGGTCCTTGCCGATGGGCAAGGCACCATGCATCACTGCCAAGGACAGCCACGAGTCCGGCCAATTCCATTTGTTAAACTCGCTATTATCATTGTCCCACATCATCACAAGGATGGGCTCGCGGCAAAAGGCATCTTGAAAAAGGCAAAATTCATGGGAAAGCGCTGGCCCCTTTGGCGCAAAACCAATGTGATCAGTGCTGGATAGATTACTAAAATTGTAGGCCATGTTGCAACTGCTAAATGGCTATACAATAGGCCGAAATGGGCAGTCATTCTGCTTTGAAAATGGCTCCCATCCATGGCAGAATTCTGGGCAGAACATGCAGTCTCAGGAGCACCACAACGGTGGGGTGCAGTTGGGCAGCAACGCTCAATCGATAATGATGATTGAATGAATTGGCGAGTGTACAAATGTTGTCCCATACCTTGGGGACCCAAAGTTGGGGTGAGCGTTCGCGGTTGCCATCATGTGCCGTGTGTCATGTGAATGATGTCGTACAGCAACCTTGGACGCCGAGCCGCAGGGCGCCTGAGAGGCACACGCATGGCAGTGGAAACTTGCGGCGACATGCTCGAACATGGGTGTGAGGGCGTGGCTGCCAAGGCTCAATGATGATGATGATTATTGCGGAATTGCATGGGATACGTTGCACGCTGCTTGCATTGCAGTGGTCTCCATGGATTTTGATGATGATGGCAGTGGTCTATATTGCCATGCATGAAATTTGCATGCCCACGAGGGGCTACGATGACCCTAAGGGATGCTCGAATCCATGACGTGTAGGACTACTAGGCGCGACCTGCATCTGAAAGCCTGCTCAGCGACAGGGGCCATGAGCGAGGCGCTGGCGCCCATGGCGGAGGTATAGGCGAGCAGGCCAGGGCAGGGTCAGGCGAATTGCAGGCGGCGGGACGCATGGAGCACATGTGATTGGATAGGAGGCCATGGAATCGAATCAGGAGGGCGGTGGTGTGATCATGGAAGCCGCCAGACACTCATGCTCATAGTGTAATGCGAGTCTAAAAGGTTCTGGACATCAGGAAGGTTCGGGAAGAATCAACACTAACGTATAAGTGACATGACAGCTTAGGGATCATCTAGGTGAGTGAGAATAATCTTAGAAAGTTCTGGAAGGCTATGGAATAGTTGGCCAGTCTGTGAATAGAGGGGGCTGACATCATAGCGTCCAATATTCCAAGAAACCCCTGTGCCGCATTGCAACCAATGGTGGATAAGTGCTGGGACATTGTAAGGTTGGATCCGGGTGTGACAAGTGATTGTTCGCTGTTGAGTCCATGTGTCCAACTGGTGTCTTGCTGGCCCTGGATCAAGTGTGTGGGAAGGGAGATCGCTACAGGCAATCATATTTGGTGTGGCCATGTGAATTCTGAATTGCAAGAGCGATCGTTGTGCCGACAAATCAGGCTGGGCTGGTTGGTGGACTCATTTTGGCTTCAATGATCAGCCTTGTTTGTTCGCGGACACTAAATTGAGGCGCCTCACTTCGGCAGCACCTGTGCGAGGAAATGGAAGGCTTGGATCCCCACATTAGTGAGGCAGCAGCATCAGCTCATCAGCCCTAATGGGCAGCTGCACATGGAGGCTGCTTTAACACATTTCAGAGAGCCGGCGTGTCACAAGTCCCCTGCCCCTCTGCGAGTCACCAGGGCCTGGAACACCAACGAAGAAGAAAAGTGCCTGCACGCAAATAGATGCTCCCATTCCTACACTCCGAATCCCCCCCTCCCACTGCACGCCTGTTTGAATTTTCTTGCCCAAAAGGGGTGTGCCAAGAGCACCGTGTCTGATGCCCCCTCTCCCAACACTGTACATCGGTGGTAGGCGCCTAGCCTAATGATCATCGAGGCTTCCACTGATGTGGAATTTACATAGCGGCATCGGCTGCGGCCTCTGTCACGGCCTGCACCACCGGCGCTGAGGTCCCGATGGTCTCTGGCAGCTTCAAGATGTTGGTCAAAATGTTGCTGTTGAAGGGGTCCTGAAGGTGGTCTGTCAGGCAGGCGAGCGGGCCTTTCCTCACGACCACAGCTTGGGCCACGAAGCCCACCCACGCAACCTGTGAACACAAAGAGTGCTTAACTGAGTCGCTGTTGCGCATCACCTATCCACAAGGAGTGTCGAGGTGGTGTTGGGCATCATCATGTACGCATCAGCAAAGTATCCAGCAGCTGCTCTTTCCTACAAGCTGCAAGGAGCGTCTGTTCTGGCAGCAACTGATAACACCTGATAATGGCACTCGCAGGAAAGGGAGACGTGAGTGCCTTGAAGCAGTTATTGCAAACGAGCACAACGGATGTCTGGCACTGGGGATTGTGCCTGCTTTCTGCAAGGTCTTGCACTGATATGCTGCTGACTGGCAGTCGTCAAGGATAGGGTTGCAAAGGGCTTCACGACAAGGGCTTGACACGTGCAAGATAGCAGCAGCTGACCAGGCACAAGTAGGGTATGTTCTGATGGTGACAACACAAGCAAACACATCAAGCCTGTGTGTGCAAAATACCAAAGCCCCAGGGACAGCGGTGATCTCCATCGGCTTGCAGGATTGTTGCTGCGCACATCCAACACAACTGTTGATGAGGACACTTTGATGCACAAATGGACCTGTCTTCCCCAACACTGACACGTACCATCGCAAGCCGGCCGTTCTTCACTTCCTTCAGGGCCATTTGGTCCTTGTTCTGATTCAAGGGGTCCCAAGGGAAGGTGTCCAGAACACCAGACTGCGCAACACCACGCACTCGTTCGTCACCAACACACACAACATGATGTTGTCTGATCAACATGAACTGATGCAGAGCATCCCCCCCTTCTTTTTGCTTTGGCCAAAGTGTTGATCCACAGACAAACAGACCTAACTTCACCCATCGAAGCCAACTGCTGATTTGCTGGCCTGTTCAGGCAGCAACGCGCTGGTGCAAAGCATCTGGCGCATGGTGTTTAATCGAGTATCCCCCAGGGCTGCAAACAAGGGCACCATAGGCACAATGGGCCATTGCTTTTGCTTCACAAACGGCTGGCCATCAACACCATTTCTGTGAGGAAGGAAAACGACTTGTGTAAACAGAAAGTGAGCAATTCATGCCAATCGACCGACCCAGCTAGTATTGCCACATACCGAAAACAAAAAAGGCACATGCTGCAAAAACAAACTGACCCACCTCGCCCGTCTCGACCCAACCCCTGTAGCGCTTCATCTCAAAGAAGCCCATGAAGACGGCCTGGAACGACACCAGGAACAGGAAAGGAAGGCCAAAGTCCTTGCCGCTGTCGATGGTATACCACTCTTTGTCGATGCCCAGGGCCTCCGTGGCCACAACACCCAGCACGCCGTTCATGGCCCATCGTCCGTTCAGTTTCTCTGCCTCGATGTACCTTTGCACCGACACATGGCGTTGGTTCCCAGGGTGTGCAGGACTGCATGTATCCACAGCGCTAATGTGCGGCCATCGCACTGGTCACATGTCTCCATGCAATTCAGTTCAGAGAGCATCTTTCTTCTGCCAGTCTGTCTGGGGATGTTGCCCTTGCCCTTGACTAAGTCAAGCTGTCTGTGTTGCATGTAATCAGTACTGAAATGCTCTTCACCATGTTGAACCATGTTAAAGCAATTGGCGAGGTATCGCTTAGACAATGGCGACTTAACATTCAATATTTTGGGCCTGCTCAGAAGTCTGGTGTGCGCCCTAATGAACCCTACAGGGGGATTCAGCATGACTGCACATCGAAGTCACACATAAATGCCCATCGAGGCCAATGGGGAACTCGTTCAGCTGATCGAACCGGTGGCACCCTGGGTGCCTCACTCACGCATCCATTCCCAGCTGGCTCCTTTTCTCGGGACAATTCCGTGCCGATTACTACAGCCTCCAAAGCACGGAGACGTGAGGCACGTTCCCCGCCCTCCACAGCGGAGCTTGATTCGCCCCTTGACACAGAACGCCCGACACCTCCCATGGAACACGGCCGAATCCGCCAACCCTACGTCCCAGCCCCAACAGGCCTCCACCCCTCAGCAGCGGCCCCTCTCGCACGAAAATCTCGTGCCCATCCACGTCCCCCAAGCCGATCGATCCGCGCTTCCAGCAACCCCGCCAATCCCTCCGCGGTATGCACTGCGCTCGACCATTGCCCGACATCGCGAGCGTGGTGCCAGGCCCAATGCCTCGTCATGTGACAATTGCCAAGCAAACAGTATCATTTAATACGCACGCCTCCCGCTGGCCCCCCCACACCCCGCGATCATCGAAAACGCCGCGATCTCCTCCCGCACTCACCACGCCAGCCTGTCCGGCTCCGAGCCCAGCCCGAGAGGGTCGTAGCCGAAGTCCCCCGGCAGAGAGCCGTCCAGGTACGGCGGCGCCTGCACGCCGTTCAGCCACATCGGCCTGTCGGCCGCCCGCGCCACGAGCGCTGCGGATCGACCCGACTTCGCCACCTTGGCGCCCAAAAATGGCCGCGCCTGGGTGGCCATGCTCATCGCCGATGAGGCCATGGCGGCGTGTGTGGGCGGGGGGATGGGGAGATGGCGCGTGCGGGGCAGGTGGCGGAGGTGCGGGGGCGGCGCCCGAGCGCTTGGGAGGCAGGCAAGGGGGGGCCGCTCCTGGGGAAGGGGCTTGGCGGGGGGGGAGGAGATGTAGGATGGAACGGAAAGGGGGGAGATCTCGGCGGCCAGATCGTGGTGCGGGCAGCTGGGCGCCTCGCCTGGGAGAGCGTGGATGTTCTAAATGGGAGCGTCTTCTCAACATCGGGAAATCCCAGGACTGAAACATCAACATTTCAGCCCTTTGAATTGAAAGGAATAAGCAATAGCCTGCTGGCAGCCCAAAAATTTGAGGCGAGAATCCATTTCTTATTGATGGGCTTGGGGCGTTCTGCCGCCAGGCAGTGTGGACCCTTGTTGCTCGGTGGAAGAGGCTAATGCACTCTGATAATCTAAGTCAGCGCAGGCCCATTTACCACCAGTGTGCCGGTTTAGCAATGTTGCTGTGGGGGTGACGCCGAATCGATCTTGCCACGCTTAATGCCCTGCGCTGAGCCCCGCGCCGGCAGCCGCACCCGCCATGCGCACCCAGCTCGCAACAAATATAATCTTGTCCCCCTCGATGGTATCATGCCACTCCCGACCTATGGTGGTAACTGCCCCGTTGCGGCCCATCGTTCTACTGCTGGCCCCTCGGCAGACGAGGATGGGTGCTTTACATTGCTTGCACTACATCACGATCACCTCGTGGCCAGGTCTCGACAGTTATAGCATTATGATAAGGGAGGGAGCGCGCAGCGCCTTGCATTCCTGCAGTGCGGTGAAATTTGCAACGTGAGCGAGGCCGTCTGTTTTTGTGGTGGGACAGTCTCACTGTTACACGTTAGCCGAACTATTAGCTGCACTAATGCAACAATATTGTGAAAGCGATGAATCGTCAATATTGAGGATGGGCTCGGGGTGTTTGTCAGCATCCAAGATGTCGACGATAACTACGCAGGTGCTTGTGCACAAGGCAGTGTCCTTGTTGACCATCCCGCGTCCATTCAATTATGTACATTAGAGTGCCTTCTTACCCTGATGATGGTGCAGTGTGTGCATATGCCCTTGCCTGCATATCGTTGTTCTTTCCTCAAAACACCATTATATCACCGCATTTGGCAACGCCAGAATACATTATTGCAGTCAGCCTTTCTCGTATTTCAATCATCAGATTTTTAAAAAGAAGGGATTTTGACATCAATTCAAGGCCATGAAACAAATAATGTTGTTGAAACTCAGGTAATTCGAATTATCATCAGAATTCTGATGATTCGTCTCCAAGTTATGTGCTCAAGAATGACAATGACTCCATTTCAACAAATTGAAATGCAGAATTGCGTTTCATACAAATCCATACCGTTCCCTTCTGTGGTATGTTAAGGGACGCGATACGATGTAGTTTGAAGTACATGCCTTGCTTGACAGCAGCAAGTCAGAGACTGCCCTCAATTATTCAGTAGCTGGGCCTGACGGCCGTCCAGCGTGAGGGGCGACGGTTTTAAGCGTGATTGTTCTATTAAATGTCTGGCCGGTGCACACTGCCCCAACGATTTCCAGGGGCGATGATCTGCTTCTTGTTGCAACACACACATCTGGGTGACTCACCTGGCTGGAGCACATTCACGGTTGATGGTCTTGTGTTGAATTTGATTTCATTGAGCAGTTTGGCATATGGCACATGGCGACCTGCAATTTAACAATCTGGAAGGGGACTAACCACGACTTTTCCACCAAGCGCAGCATCATTCGGTGGCTGGATTTGTCAGGTTTTCTTTATTTGTTTCAAGTTGCTCAGTTATGTTGTACGCTGGACCAGAATATAGGGCGCTGAGCAGATTTCACACGCTTCGCCATTCTGATGCAGGGATAACGTCACTCCATGAAATCACCAGTTCAGCTCAGAGTATTATGATGCTGTCACTCTTTGCTCGCAGTACTCTCTTGTCGTGATCATAATATGAGCTCCCATTTGTTCGACATCGAGTTTGCCAATGGTGTATCAAAACTGATGGTTGGTAATCAGGACTTTGCCGCACTCGTTCCACAATGTGGGGTGATTTAGTTGCCGCGCAAGATCGATGCCCAGGGCCCGGCTGACCATCGAATCCCCCAACCCAGAGTTTCGACATGGGGATAGCAAATGACGGTTGATGAGTAGTTCGCCATGATCCAAGCTGACAAGGTAGCTTGGATCGACCAGCTTAAAGAGCTAACAAGGAACCCATGCAGCGTGGATTCCATCAGCGGCTTCACTGCACATCATTGCCGCAGGCCCCCGTGTCCTTTGTTTTGATTCCAAAGCATTTCATCCGACACAAGTTCCCACCCGACCATTGATGCAACCAGATTAAAGCGTGTTCCCTTAACTCCAACGTCCTGTATCTGTGCCCCGTGCATGTATACCAACTGCAGGTATGAAGAATTGTCATGTACAATTAGAAACTCTCAAAAACACTGGAAGTGGTAAAAGAAAGCCAAGGCGCAGTGGAGTGAGAATACGATCCCAGTATGTACATATTGGGAACACGACACAGCATTACATGTTATCCATGAAGTACATGCATGGAATACAGGCCGCCTGCAGTTTGGAAAGGAGATCAGTGCAAAGCACCTGAACATTCCCCCGTATAGCGCCTCCAAAGAAGGCGAACACATACAAAATAGACGTCTTTTGACAGCCGGGCGGAAATTCCCTTTTGATAGGTGGCGGAAGGGGGCTCAACGACCTCTTTTCCAAATGAGGCTCTCCTAAATTCAGAGTCTGATTGGATCTTATTGGATTTGACTTGGAATGGGGAGCCAATGTGGACGGTAGCTGCGGGCGTACAGCCTGGTGGCATCAGCGTTGCGCAGTACAACGTGTCACAGTGCGTGCATGTGGGTCAGTATATCCTACTTGCCCGGCGGAGCAACGTACTGGCCTTGGTACAAAGCCATCGATTGAGGATCAACGTCTTGCCTAACTGCGACACAACTGAACCCAAGTCCCTACAAGCAATAATTGTGCAAGTTGGAACTCACAGTTCCCACAGACTGCCAGCATTAAATTTAGAGGAACCCAGATGTCAATTCTCAAACTCGCCAGAACGTGACAGATCGCTGCCTTTACCAAAAGTTTTGAAGCAACAGGCTGCAGTACAGTACTGCTAAGTATCGCTGCGGCGTTCCTTGCTGATGCACAGTGCTTCGTCGGATGACCTCCCTATCGAGCACCCCCCTCACAGCGGTGACGAGAAGTTTAGTACAGAAAGGCGTCCCCCAGACCGGGCCACAATAGCGGTGCACGCCCCCATTGCCAGCACCAAAGCGAACCAGTCGCAACGTCTCCGCTGAGCGGTCGTGCGACAAAAACAGACCCTTGGTTCAGAGCGTGCGCGCAGATTTCGGCGCATCCCGCTGTTCCTCTCGGCGGCGACCCTCGGGCGCCTCTCTTTTGGGCTGCCCCGCCCGGTTGAGCATGGCCGCGCGGCACACGAGGAACATCGTCGACAGGCCGATTTGGAAGTCGAAGGGAGAGGTGCGTCGGCCAGCCGGCGCCCCAGAGGGTAACGGGTGTTGATCGTATCGGCATCCACGGAGAGGATTTGATCCCGGCCACCTGAAAGCGGCATTGGGCTGTTTGTGGCCCTCGTGTCCAAGTCGGCTCGTCGTTGGGCACGTTGATGACACCAGACGACTGCAAATCGGCAGTCTTTCATCTGAAGTGGCATTGAAAAGATTTTTCGCCTTGGGGGGCGGTTGTGCTCGCAGCTCAGCTCCATCCCGGTAGCAGATTGGGTTTCTGGACCTTACCCAAAAGATGCTGAGGCAATGGACGATGGCGCCGCTGTCTGTTGCAGATTAGGTCTTGTTCTTTCCAAGGGTGGTTTTAGACTATTGCTCCAATCTGGAGCTTCGTCTTGCGCCACTTTTGGCTGTCATCTAGGTCAACAACCTGCCAATACGCTGATTCTGCCTTTGACTGTGTACACGCACCACAAAGACTTGTAAATGTTGCTACCAAGCTGTCAACAAATAGGACACAATCTTGTGGACGTTTGTGCGATGCGCGTTGGGACGCTAACTTTGAGGCTGAGCAATGAATGTTCACACTTAGAAGAATTTGGTTCTTGACCTCTGCACCAACGCCACTGATGATTCTGTGGTGCGAACCTGGTGCTGCAACTGTGTGGTACTTTATTGCAGGCGCACGTAGCTCAAGCTTCAGTGCAATGTTTGTTTGATACATAGATCTTGTGGAGAAAACCTAGACATCATGCTGCTAAGTTCGGAATGCTGCTTTGCGGATATTTTTGCACACAGCAAGGCACCAATCTTATGCCCATAAGGTCATGACAGGCACTCAGGCACCCTTAGTTTCGTACCCGTATTTTATGTGCTTAACATCACTGTGCCAATCCGCACACAAAGTCTGACTGTCACCCTGGTACCTTGAGTCGGTCAATCAAAATTTCGATCACAACATGCTTAACAACAATGGTCATGGTACCTGTAGTGCTGTGGATACGGCAGGCTTGTTGTGCAACAATGTTTGTCAGTATATTGGCACCCCATAGAAAAGAAATTCTGCAGACGCTGGTGTTGTCCCATTTTGCTGGCCGCCTGGGAGCACACAGGGTGCCCATGGGGCAGCTCATCATGGATGACATATTGTGTTTGGGAGGACGATAGAAGTACTTCCCAAGCACAGTCGATCAACTGCAGATGGCACATTTTCCAGTGGGTGTTCTGCTTTACACAAGTAACTAGTTCCTGCCAAGTTGCCTGAAACAAGATGCAGAGGAACACCCATCAGTTACGAATGGTAGCATTTAGAGCATATTTGTGAATTGTAAACTGTGTTGTCAGCCCTACAGTGGCAAATCTGACCACCATTGTAGTCACTACCCAAAATGGTGCAACGCAAGTTGAAAAGGCCTTGTCTCACTGTGTGCACAGGCATCCACAGTCAGCTTCAGTGCATTCGCATTCCTCTTCAGTGAGCTGATACAATATAGTCAAACAAAAGTCAAGAGCACAGCAGAGCTCGAGAACAGGTGACACCCATTCCTGATTGGCCACTTTATGGTGCTTGACAAGCGTCAGATATGGCACTGGAAGCTCTGATGCAGCTATCTATTGGGGCCATGAGTCTGCTGTACATTGTGCTTGGCTTCTACCTATATAACTGCAGATGCATGCACCCCTTGAGAGCTCTGTACAGTGCTGAGAATTGTTCATTGTTGCACTGTTCTTTGTGTGGGACTGGGAGGCTGGTACATCGCTGTTTGTGGTGTGGACATTCATGGGCACCATTTTCTCCGTCTTTGCACTTGTTTAGGATAGAGAACTGCCCGTTGCATGTGCTGTTCCTTTTCTTGCAACACAGGTTGCCAGGGAGGCTGCTCTGCCTGCGATGCATCTGTGCTGCTGGCTTGCTGTGGTTTGGGTTGAAAGCCCCTGCATCTGTGTTGTGAGGTTGGAGGTTGCTGGTGGCGAGATCGGCCGCCGACTGCTGGAGCTGCTGACGTATCGAGAGAAGGCTCCAAAACGCAAGACTAGGCTTCTGGACCTGCTGAAATTTGTGCACACAACAGTGTGGCCATACATGTTTGGAAAAACAGCAGACTCGTTGGAGCAGGCAAACGCGGTGGGTGGGTGGCAGTGCTGAGTGTGGTCTGAACTTGGGAAGGAACACACGCGATGTTTGGTCTTAAAATTCTGTTCCTGCAGCTGCCATGGCACTCAGTCAGGCCTGCAGTGGACAACATTAACTTGGTTGAGTAGATCTCACCTTCTTTCCTGGAGATTGCCCAGGCTATTGCAGGCACCAGCCAGTGGCATTTTGCATCGTCTTGCACTTCTTGTGTGGTGGTGGAAGGCCTGTACCTCTTCTGTAATGAGTGTTCTTGAATCCAAAAGAGGAAGTAACAACAACAATATCCTGGCCTTTTAATGTTTTGCTGTGCTCCTTTGAGTTTCTCCTTCCCTTGTGAGTGTGTGCTGTTGCAATTGCCAGGGGCATGCATCTCTGGTGGCAGTCTTGGAGTACTGTGTTGTGACTGGGATTATTGAATCTGGATGACTGCCAGCTTTCCTGTCATGAACACCTGTTTACGATTTCTGAATGGAAGGCATCATGAATGTTGGAGTGCTCTTCATCATCTGCCAGGTGCAAGGACATCATCTTGTTCTGAGATGGTGAATGCGATTCTAGCAAAATCCATGCCATTGACCTGGCCGTGTCTGCTACGGGTCGTTGCTGTTGCATGGGTTTCCCTGCATCGCATGACAGAGCTTAGAGTCAACTCTTTGGTACTGTGGCACAGGCGAAACCGGCAGCTAGCATGTGTCAGCACTTCAACTCCAGGCAGTTGTTGCAGTACAAATTGCAATCATTGTTTGCCTGGTCTATAGGCGGATGACGAATACATGATCAGCGATGTCAATCTGGCATTGACGAAGTACATATCTGTGCCAAGAGACATGGGCTCATTCAACCCAGGGGCTCTGGCAGCGGGCATTGTGAAGGGGATTCTAGATGCAGCTGGGTTTCCTGCGAGGTTAGTTTTTCATTCCAACCCATTACATGTCACAGCTGTATCAAATGTGCGTCGTCAGCTGTATCATTTGGTGCGTGATCAGGAAGACATGACAACAAAACACTGCCCTTCCACCTTTCAGGTGGTGTTGGAAGTATATGTCAACACAGAATGGTGCAATTTCACCATAAAGCAGACAGAAAACCACAGACGTGGGAAACCAAAGTCGTTTTCAGTAGATGTAGGGTGAATTCTGTATAAACACAATTGGATCAAGCAAGATGCGTAAATCTCCCATCTGCAGGCTGTTTCTCAAGCAGTGCTAGACTTTGTGTGTATGTTCTTGTTGTCCTCACGCATCTGCTTTGCAACTATAAGTTAATTTAGCACCCCATGAATATGCGTGGTGTTTGAACATTTGAATGTGATACGGCTCGATGGTGTGCTGCTGCTGCACTGCTCACTGTCTTTTTCCTGTTGTCAAAACAATTTACATCAGCGCAAGCTGCAGCGCACGTTGAGCATGCTGTATTTAACTGTGCTGCATGCTCAATGAGCTTTATTGTCGAAACGTTGTGCAGACGGAATTCAGACTACTTATTGGACCTGATGCAGCTTTTTGCCCCTTTCAAGAATGGAATTAGTGGAACGAGCACCATCTGTAGGTGAATGTAAAGTAACTGATGCTTGGTGTTTTCTCTTCTTTGAGGGTGTCCACGCATTATGTTGACGTCCCCGGTTTGTCCAAGCCTCAGACGACGATCCTTATGAAGTTTGAACCGTCCGTGATGCAAAGAGAGGCGAGGCTTGAACCAAGGGCGACGTGAGCAAGATTTTGTGTGAAGGGGACATGTGGGCATAGAATGAAGAGAAAGCACTGTGTTGCACGAGATGGGAAAGCGGGCTTCCAATGTTGGGATGGTCATTGTTTGAACATAGAAATGCCGTAGAGCACTGCTGGGCCAGATACTGCTCTGCACAATTTGTAACTGTAGTTTCTAACATTCGCTGCAGGATATGACCATGGTACTGAATGTGCAGTGTACAGTCAGCAACGCTCTGTCGGCGATTGCTGTTGCGCTCTGCCGTCGTCGGTGCCACGGTTACCCACCTGTGCTCCGCAATCGCAAGGCCAGGGGTCTGTTGCGTATGGCGAAGTGATGTGGCATCTGCAGGGCCAAAAATTGTTTTAAGGAAGAAAATTGTTTTAAACAAGAAATTGTTTTAAACAAGAAAGTTGTCTCAAACAATCGCGTCGCTTCCCCACAGCCACGTCACCGTTGCGTCACAGTGTCCCTCAGCTTCCCGTGGACTGCACTACGCTCCGTCTGCCGGTGTGCTGTTGGCAGTGCGCCCGGTTGGGCTGTCAACCCGAGTCGGGAGTCCCGGCCCATGGGTCTGACCAACCTGCGGGTGGCCGTCCTGGGCTGCGGGCCCGCGGGCCTGGCCGCCGCGCTCCTGCTGTCCCGCACCGGCCATTCCCCCGTCGTCTTCGAGCGGTTCAGGGCGCCCGCCCCTGTGGGCTCCGGCCTCCTGCTGCAGCCCACAGGCCTGGCTGTCCTGGCAAAACTGGGCCTGGCGTCTCGCCTGGCCGCCCTGGGCGCCCCGATCGGCCGCCTCTTCGGCCGGTCGGTGCCCTCCGGGCGCGTCGTCTTGGATGTCCCCTACTCTGCCCTAGGCGGGGGGCTGCGCGCGCTTGGCGTGCATCGATCCGCGCTCTTCCAAGCGCTTTTCGACGCGGCAATTGCGGGCGGCGTGATTTTTGAAACGGGGTTTGAAGGCAGGGGAGTGGATCGAGTTTCGGGGGATAGGTCGCGGCTGGTGGCGGCGGACGGGCGGCGCAGCGCGGCCTTTGACCTCGTGGTGGACGCCTCCGGGTCGGGCGCCGCCTTGGCAACGGGCCGGGTCAACGCCCAGCTTCCATATGGTGCCCTGTGGGTCAGTCTGGACTGGCCCCAGGGGCCCTGCATGGACGGGACCCCTGGGCCCGGAACGGACTGGACCTCGGGGCCCAGACAGGACCGGTCCCCAGGGTCCGGGCTGGCGCCGGATCGCCTGGAGCAGCGCTACCAGGCGGCGAGGCGGATGGTCGGTGTGATGCAATCGGGACGGCCAGCGGACGGCCGTCCCATTCAGGCGGCCCTGTTCTGGAGCATCAAGTCTTGTGACCTGGCGGCATGGCGGGCCAACGGGCTGGATGCCTGGAAGGAGGAGGTGGCGTCGATGTGGCCCGAGACCCTGCCGCTGCTGGGCCAGATCTCGCACCCCGACCAGATGGTGTTCGCGTGCTACGGCCACCGGACGATGGCCAGGCCGTGGCGCCCGGGGGTGGCGTTCGTGGGCGACGCCGCGCATTCCACGAGCCCGCAGCTGGGGCAGGGCGCCAACATGGCGTTGCTGGACGCATGGGCACTGGCGAGGGCGGTGAGCGAGTCGGAAACCGTGGGCGAGGCGCTGGAGGCTTACGCGGAGTCGAGGAAGCGGCACGTGCGCCTGTACCAGACCATGAGCCTCGCCCTGACGCCGATGTACCAGTCCGACGGGGCGCTGGCGCCGACGTTCAGGGACTGGGTGGCGGCGCCGGTTGCCGGGATCCGGCCCTTTCCGCGGTTGCTGGCGGCGCTGGCGTCGGGCCTGTGGGGGCGGCCGCTGGCGCGGCTGGGGTTGCAGGCACCAGCGCTAACCGCGCTTGGCACGGAGAACATCCACTGCGGGAGTTTGTTCGGTGGGCCGTAACTTAGTGTCCGTAAAACCTCTCCTTCGAGTCGAGAGTCCGGGCTCGAGATTAGAGACTGAGTTTTTAATGGGATTGGGGCCGCACCCCTGGCGATTTAGGTGCTGCCTGAGGAAGGCGGCAACATTTATCTTTTCTCTGTCGGTGCCTAGCCAAAACGGAACTCTGGTAGCTTAGTGCTGTGGCGCCGGCTTGATGGCGTTTCGAGACAGTTAGCGTTCTCCATTCACATGGGGGTGCACAGGCATCAGCATCGTGGTGGGTGCACACAAAGTCGGCTTGATACCTTTTGCTGGCAGTGCAGCGGACGAACGGCGTTCGGGATGTTGAAGACGCTCAACTGCGTCCCTGGGAACACAGCGTGGACGGGTGGGTATTCAAATACCCCTCAGGATTTTGAAGACAAGTCTTAACAGGTTTTGCATTTCAGTGATTGGCAACGCCGATGAACTTTTCATGTAAGAACTGCTTTGCAAACGAATCGTCACACTTTCAACACAGTGGGGTGCTCAGATGGTCGGCGGGATCCAAATCAGCGCCTGAAGTCTCGAAAACAACGTCTCGCCCCGACCCTGATCGCTCGTCTCATTTTTCATTTGAACACAATCTCGTACTTTGTTGTCTCAGTTCAATGGTTTGGTGGAGGAAAAGCAATCGCTCAAAGTCTGCTTACAACATCCAGAAGCAATGAAACCCTATCAAGAGAACTCTTACTCTCCAGTGATCCGCATGGAAACCCTTTGCTCAATTACTTTAATATCATATATTCTTTCACACTGCGTGCAAACATAACTATATTTTCAATTTTTAGTAACGATGTAACATGCGCCATATCAGGGACATATCGCACAATAATTCGGAAATCTCTCTGTAACGCAGAGGTAATTCGAAAACCCCTCAATGCATGTGTGTTTCTGGCACGGTACATTAGGAATACCAGCAACATCTCTTACCAAGCGGTATTATAAAAGAAACTCTGCGCCACGGGGAGTGCAGAGGCATGTCGTGACATTCACCTTCGTTAGGGATATTACCATAGCGAGGCTATGTGCGACTGATTCCATCAGTCTCTGTTTGTGAGTGAAGGTGGAGTTGCATCACGAATGCCCAGCGCACACAACTGGCTGTCGATAAATCAAATGCCTGCATGAAAGCAAAGGGCACAAAGGGACCCAGGGCAAGCTCAGAGGCGAAAGAACCTGGCTTTGGGTAAATGTTGTGAATGTGATTCCAATCCTTGCAGCAAAATAGCCATCCAATTTTCCATGCATGATCGAATTAAATGGCATCTGTGTGCGCTTCATTCTGCTAACTGGTGTTATCCCCATCTCTCCAGGTTCCCTTGTCTCAACGGATTTTTATCCGCAGAAAACTTCGATCACGCCACGCTCAGGCCGTCATCCGTTCATCCATCTAGCAAGCCAGCCATTCGCTCATTAATTCATCCAGCCATTCATTAGCTCGTTCTTTCATACACCCATACCTTCATCCGTTCAATCAACCGGCCATGCACCGATGGCTGGCTACTTGCTGGATGCCTGGCGATAGATATTGCTCATTTGACATTTCTGTTCGGGCGGCCGCGCCATGATCACCGTTTCACCGGGTGACTCAGTGACGCTCAACGACCAGCTACTGCTCTGCATTTCAGGAGAACGTTTGATTTTACGTGGAATGGCTGAGCAGACCGCCTGTGAGAAATTCACTGAAGATATTCATGAGCTTCTTTGACCCGATTTGGCGCCTGGGATGCCGTCTCGTCCACGCTCGTGTTTGTCTGGGACAACACGATTTTCACTGATAAACCCTGAACAGTTCAGGAGTCAATGCCGCTTTCGGGGTATGTTGTTTGTAAACCTCTTAAATTCAGGGGTTCTCTGGCATGAATGGAGGTTGTGGCTGTGCTTTTACCCACAGCTTCATGGCTGCTTGATGTGTGTTTTGTACATTTTTGTTTGCAAATAACTTAGGCCCATTGAACGACTTCGAGCAATCTGAGCAGTCAGGAGTGTAATGTTTGAATAGTGGATGGGAGCGGAAGGCCTGAGCTTCTCTCTCTCTATTCTTGCCCCACTATTTTGCTATTGGTGACGGTGGACGGTCCGTGTTGCAATACCTCGGAAAAAATTGCGTATACTGGATATGTAATAAGGAAATTGTGGTCCATGTCCTGGATATCGAATATGACGTGGGCGCGATATCCGAATACCATGTTCCTATCCCACATGGTGCTTCCGGTAGGACCAGAGACAACCACCCACAACCGGTGGCTGGTGGAACCGAGTGTAAGAGAGCACCGGTGGTTGCCGCCCTCACTGGGTACAAAACCGTGAAAGAAACACGAATGGAAAAGGCTGGCGCGCGCCCGGAGGGCTGTCATCTCAAGGCTATCTCGGCCTTTTGGTGTAGCAAGTTAATCCATGCAGATTGTCTGTGCCTGACGCGTAGACTTACGGCGCGAGTGTGACATTTTGTGTGATGAATGCCATCAAATGAGGATCAGCACTTTAACACTACAGTTGGTGACTTTGACGCGAGCATGAGAGTTGAAACACGCAATGCGTCTTGTTGCCACAAAGGCCAGCGTCGCCTTGCTGACAGCCATTGCGCCGCCCAGTTCTCAACAACTTCCGTGCGGCGCGAGCGTTGTAGGCGCCTGGACCTGTTGCGAACTGCCGGTTCCCTCAAGGATACCTAATAAAGATCGGATTGGCTGCTTGCGAGCGGTGAGATTGGGATGCCATTCCAATGCCATGTCTTAAGTTGCAGCGGGATACCTTGAAAGTCGCCGGGAACATGTCGTTGGGCACATTGAGGAAAACAAAGTTGCCTGAAGAATCTTAAATCTTGGCTCATTGCACGGATGAGCATCCGCAGCCGGTTGGCTTATACGATGCCTGGCTTTGGCAAGGGAGGACAAGTCGTTGTTGCCTGACGCGCAATTATAGGGACCACCACCTCGTTGCTAGATGAACAGATTACGAGTGTGCCTTGTGATTTCGGGCTTGGAACCATAGGTCCGCTAGAGTGGGCGCTTTGTCCGACATGGCCCGATACTCGCATAGACATAACTCGGTCTCTTCAGCTGCGAGGCAGCACCTTCAACACCCAGCTTGGCGGTGAGCGTCTGCAGAATTCGGAAAGCAGCGCCTGGTGACTTGCTTCGGTTGGTCATGGCAGGAAGGAGCCTGCAAGATTCATTGCTTGTTGATGCATGTTGACAGGAGGCCTTAAGAGTTCAACATATAGCAGCTATGAATACCAGCAAAGGTATTCGAAATAGGGTGCATCACAAGTGTGATCTCCGAGTTGCTGGGAATTGTACTATCGGTCAGAAACGAAACCACGATGGCTTCTGGCAGGGCATCCTGCAACGTGATCCTGTTGCTAATGTACGAAGTCGATTTTAATTGCTGGCACAAAACCTCGTTCTGGCCACCCTCAATGCTTTTGTGCTTGTGCGGATGAGCACAGTTCCTATGCAGGCACTCTCTGTCCAGAAAACTTTGTGAGACACACATATGCTCTGCACCAGCCTGGCCAGGCGCAAGAGCTGTACTGAGTGGGGCCATGGCATTGCACCTGATAGAGTCATGCGGAACTTGGACAGCGAGAGGACGAAGGCAGCTTGCTAATCTTCCACACTTGGTTTGGGGACTGACACATCGGCAACTAGGTAGAAATCTGAACCAAACAGAGTCCCTGAGGGATCTTGCAACCACACCAATTCCTTGCACAGGAATCTTGCAGTCAAACCATTTCCTTGTGCACCTGTGTAATCCCAACTGCGCTCTTCCAAACAGAGCTCACTATCAGTGAAGAAACGAATTGCAACGTCGCTAACACAGATCGAATTGCAATGGTATGGATGGAAGTCCTGATGAGCCATGCTGATTGAAATGCCAATGAAACTGTCCCCCAGTGCTGCTCAAGAGTTGGTAGGTGCCACAAATGCCTGCTGGCTCAGTGGAAATCTTTTACCTTCTGATGCTCAGCCTCATAAACTCTTAGTGCACTGTTTGCCAACATATTCTCATGCATTGCTACCACTGTGCCATGCACAATGCCAACATATGACACTATGCACTGCACAAGGATTCTGTTAGGAGCACTGCAGTGTTTGGTAGCATATGTGCTTCTGGCACTGCTCCCACTCCCGTACTTGGCATTACACTACTGCTGTATCTTCATGTTCTCCAGCTTGTTCTATTCTTTCACTCTCTTTTTGTTTGTGCATGATGCCCAAGCAGTTTTCAGCTAAACTGTGAGCACATTGTGCTCACTGGCAGCTCTTTGTGGATTCTTGTTGGGACAGGAAGACGAATCCATTAAAAATAGTATCTGTTGTTAGGGGAACGCCTGACATCACCTGATAGCTGCAGGGTTAGTGCTCTGCCAAGTCATGATGAGTGGAGCAAGCAGGAATTTTGTGGGAAATTTTGCAGCAGGGTCGGAATGTGCATAGTGAATATCCTGTGATTGTGCAAGATGTTGCTGCAAGCCCATGCTACAAAGCGATGCTGTACTACTAATGTTGCAACAGCCAAAAATTGTGTCTTTGTAGTTCATCTCCGAGTGTGCAAGTGAAGGTCTATCTGAATCAAATCTGCAGGGATGAAGGGGGCCAATAAGAGTGTGAAGTTGAAATTTTATAGTCCATCACAGAAGGCATTCTATCACAGCACTTGCTGCACTGTTTAATGCAGTGGTTGCGAGATAAGTGCCATATTTAAGGTATCTAGTGCCCTGTTTGATAAATTCACTAGTTTGCAACACCAGTACGTCGATGCCAGCATGTTTGTCCGATAACTCTGTTTAGGTATTCTATGAACAAAACAGACACCGTTGTACCTCACAAGTTGCATCGCGTCCAGGTTTTGAAATACAGAAACGTCGCTTGGAAAGCTCAAGACGAATCCTTCTGACCTGCAATGAGTCACTACCGTTTGTCGCCGGCTGTTTGGTTGATGGCTAACAGAATCTTACGTAATCTTGATGTGCGAATGGGACATTTGAGAAATTTTTGCGTGGCATTGCACCACCACCCCTTCGCCACCAGCAGATGCATTGTCAAGCAAGCAATGGAACCAACGGGACAGCCCAATGCCGTATTTTTATCAGAATGTGACTTTGCCGCTCTGTGCGAGAGCGCCCTGCATTGAGTCTCTGGTTTTTTTATCAGCCAGAAACGAAACGAGTTGTGAGTCGGGTGGCGTCCTCAAACACATCACCATCTGCAAAGCTTGACGTTGGCGAGATGGGGGACTCGATCATGAGGGTCATGACGACGGGAAAGTCTTTCATAATTCGGCGGGCGTCTGAGGGGGACTGTGAGCCCGCGGCACAGATCATACAAGATTCCTTTGGCGACTTTTGGGCGTCCGTTGGGCAGCCAGAAATCGCCTTACCTCCACGAGACGAAGACGACATCGCAAAACAGATGGTCACGTTCAAGGCGCAGCATCCGAACGCGATAGTTTTTGTAGCCATGGCCGTCGATGGCGAAGGCAACGAGTCGGAGATGATTGGCACCAACGGCATAGACCTCCGTGATGGCATTGGGGGCATCGGGGTGTTGTCAGTCGCAACAAAGAACCATGGCCGTGGAGTGGGGAGGGCCCTGATGGAGGTCGTCATGGAGTCGTCGGAAAAGCGGGGTGGCAGGGGCGTGAGCCTGACAGTGAATGCTGCCAACGTGCGGGCATTTTCTCTGTACGCCAGCCTGGGTTTTCGCGTTGTGGAGTTTTGCGTCGATGTCGAGGGCCGGGTTTCTGATGAGGAAGAGGCGGCAATCCTCGACAGGGCAGCAGCCCAAGGGCTGACAGTGCGGGAGATGGTGGCAGATGACGTGCCGCTTTGCGACCGCCTCTTCGCAAAGTCTTTTGGGTTCAGCCGTATAAACGGCCTGCGGGATTCCCAGGCGGGCAGGGACGGTTTTCAAGGCAAGACGGCGCTGGTCGTCACGAGGCGGAGTGCATCCGGCGGGGATGAAATCGTTGGCTACACGACTCTGATTTCCATAACGGGGCACTACCTGGCAGAGAGCGAGGACGTCATGCAGACCATGGTGGCGTACGGATCCAGGATGTTGAAGTCGACCAGCAAACCCGCCAAGGCGTCGCTTCGTGTCATGACGCACCACAACCCCGCGCTTCTCATGTGGGCGATGAAGGCAGGGTTGCGAGTTAAGAGCCATTGGCTGTGGATGTACAGGGGTGAGCCGTTTCAGCTTGACAAGAAATTGGCTTACTGCCCTGATTGGTATTATTAGGTCAGTTGTTGACTGCTGGAATTGTGTTGACACATGAGGGAAGAGGACGAAAGCATTCAGGTCCCAAGTAGTCTCTTAATTTGAGGTTGGGAAGCGTTTGGTGTTAGGAGGGCAACGCTGATGCAGCAGTGAAATGGCGATGGGTACTTATGAATGGCGCCTTCTGGACCACAGATACCACGGGAACAACGAGCGTAGGGACATCGTGCTCGAAGCACAATGTTCAAGGAGAGAAACGCAGGAGTCCTGGGATTATGCACCGCCAAGTTGTAATGATTTGCCAAACGCCTGTCCACCTTCCACCGCTGGCTCCAGGAGTGCCAATGGTTTCTCGCCCCATGCCACTCAACATTTGTGGGCAGCCCATCCTCGATGCTTCCTTGGGCTGGGTTCTCCCTTGACGCCGTGCCTCTGTTGCATCCACATCGCGCTTCACATTTTCACGTATGAAACTGTGCTACCATGTCCTTGAGCTATGCATGCGCATTCCATGCCCAAAGACGGCCATCACTATCCTAGACGTACGACCGGTACTAGCGAGCGATATTCTGGATATATAATTAACTATCCTGTTAATGAGTTTCTGCGAAGGGCGACGATTGGGAGGGCGCGTAACGGCCAGGTTGGGCCGTTCCGCCCACTGGACAGTTTGGGGCCATCCAATAGCCGGTTTCTGTCACCCCTGTACTCGGGGTCAGTGCTGCCCGACGTATCCAAGGGAGCTTGGGTGGATCTTTGTACCTTGGGCGCGGCCAAGGGGACCGGTCAAGCTGGCCCTTGGGTTTGGCGGGGAGTTTGGCGGCAAGTGGGAGTGCTATTTCAGGCGCGACCCTTGGCGCCCCCCTTATCTTGTTTCGCTTCGCGCCAACACCTTTGGCACAACCCGGAACCACCGAGTGGTTCGACCCTCCGGCCTCCGCGCCGAGTCCTTTCTGTATGAACCCCAGCCCTGCCGACCAGTGGCTGCGGGCACAGGCGCTTCGTTTCAACCAGCGCCTCCCTGACCGTCCTATCGAGGTTACGTGGGTTTCAGACCCCTGGTTACTCCCCCGCTCAGTCAACAACCGCGTCGCCAGGCCGGACTTTACGTCTTTCCCGGCCTGGTTCGACGTACGGGAGACCGGCCAGGGTCAAACCGTCGCCGCGGCCTTGGGACCCAACTCCGGCTACTTCCAGAAGTACGCGAGCTGGGCGCCGTGGGTCGCGTGGCAGTTCGACTACACGGCGGCCTTCGTGGACCTGGTCACCCACCCGAGTCTTCCGCCTTCGATCCTCGATCTACTCCTGCCGTACGTCTACGCCTCGGTGGCCATTACCGAGCGGCAGGTCGACCAACTGCGCCTCCATCAGGTGCACGCGAAGCATCGCAGCACCGGGCTCGAGGGATCCTGGCGGGCACTGCAGGCCCAGATCCGCCTCAGCGAACCCGAAGGCGGCTTCACCACCGAGACCATCGACGGGACGTTGGGTGCCATCCGCAAGGAGCTCCTCACCCAGGAGGTCAAGCTTGCGACCAAGGCGGCCGCGGCCAGTCGGGCATCCAAGGCGGGGAGCAGCGATCCCCCTTCCCATTCGAGCGGCCAGGCGGGGAAGCGAGGCAAGCGCCGCAATCCCCCTCAAGCGTCGCGTCCCCCTCCGGACGCGTAGCTGATTTTCCGTACAACCGCACTCGCGGCCGGCTTTTGGCATGGCGGAGGATTGGAGCGCCCTCACACGTTCTACGTTGGATCCATTCGGGTGTTCCGCTGCCATGGGGACCGCAGGGCCCCCCTCCGGCCTTCGACCTGGGCGAGTACCCGATCCGTTCCGCGGAGGAGCGGGCGGGCTGGGAATCCCTACGCGCGGAGTACTTGGCTTCGGGAGCGATCGTGAAGGTAGACCCCGGTCCAGAGTCTCGGATTTCGCTCGCCTTTCTGGTCGAGAAAGGACGGGAGAATGGGGTGATGAAGTTCCGACTTTGCATTGATTTACGTCGGGTGAATCGTCACCTCCGCAAAATGGGTTTGCGGTATGAAAAGATGAGGGATTTTGGTCACTTGCTTCACAAAAATGATTTTCTGGTTGGGTTTGATATTAAGGATGCATACCATCACTTGCGGATGCGTTCTCAGGATGAATGTTTTTTACAATTCCGTATGGGCGGTGAAGTCTTTGCTTGCCGGGCTCTACCGTTTGGCCTGGCATTATCGCCTTATTTTTTCACCCATTTCATGTTGGTGGTGACTAGATTCCTTCGGTCCCCCGGCTCGTGTGCCAAGGCGGCGCACGCTTTTCGGTTTGGTTGTTTAGCGGGGAATGATGCCATTCAGCGGTATTTTGTGTGGTATACCCACGAATCTCCTGCGGTCCTGTTAGCCTACTTAGATGATTTTCTGGCGGCCATGAGTGATCCCGCCAAATTGCGCCAATGGTCTCATTTGGTGCGGGAGATTTTTCAAGCTTTGGGCATTCGTTTCAAGGACCGAAAATGTCAGTGGGATCCCGTGCAAAGTAAAAGGCATTTAGGAATCGTGATCGATACCAAGGCTTGTCGCTTTTACGTTCCTTTGGACAAATCGGCTTCCATTGCCGAACGGGCTCGGATCCTTAGGGCCCGCCGCTGGGTGGTGGCCCGCGACCTAGCTCGTTTTTGCGGGCAGGCTATCTCCCTTTACCTAGCCTTCCCCTTGGCCCGCTTTTTCTTGCAAGGCCTGTATGCGGTGCTACGTACCAAGCGATCTTGGCGTGATCGCCTTCGCTTGACACCCCAGGCCTGCCTCGATTTAGAGGCTTGGATTCACATTCATCGGTGTGAGGGCCGCCCCCTCAATCCTGATGCCGTCCCGTTTGCGGGCACGATGGCGACGGACGCCTCGTTGACGGGCTGGGGGGCCACTTTCGCGCCTCCTCATTCGGATCGACCGAGGTTGGCTCGAGGATTTTTCGATCGTTCGTTGACGCACATCAATGTGCGTGAACTGCAGGCGGTGGCCCTGGCCATTCGGGCCTTTTTTCCGGTCGATTCCCCCTCGATCTCGGCGCGGCTGCGCCTCCTGGTGGATTCACAGGTCGTCCTTTTCTGTATCCGCAGCATGACGACCCGTTCCGACCAGCTCCGGGGGCCCCTACGCCAACTGCAGCAGATCTGTTCGGCCCGATCGCTGCTCCTCGATCCGGAGTACATTCCGTCCCAAGACAACACGATCCCCGACCAATTGTCGCGGGTGCGGGGTGGGGAGGACTACCGCCTTAGTCCGTCCATTTTCAAGACAATTACACGGACGTTCGGCCCGCGGACCATCGACCGCTTTGCTTCCCATCGCAATTCCCTCTGCCCCCGGTTCAACTCGCAGCATCACGAGCCGCATTCGGCGGGAGTGGACGCCTTCCTCCAGGATTGGACGGGCGAGGCCAATTGGGCCAACCCGCCTTGGTCGCTTCTCCCGCGCCTCACGGCGTTCCTGACGGAGCACCCAGCGGTGGAAGCGGTGGTCTTGGCCCCGGACTGGCCGTCCGCCATGTGGTTCCCGCAGCTCCGTCGCCTGGCCTCGCGGGAGATGGTGATTCCCCGCCAGCCGGGGATGTTCATCCCGGGGGATCCGGCTCTCCCGGCTGCTCTACCTCCCCCCCGGTGGAACCTGCGGGTGTTCCACATTCAACCGACGCCTCAGACAACGACTCCACCGACGTGAGGCCGCAATCTCCCCCGGGGTCGCCGGTGGCAGACCCCCTCCCGGTGGAGGTCATGCCGCCCGATCACCCGCTTTTCGGCTGCGATGTGGACGGCCTTTCTTCGTCGGATCGCTCCTGGATGCAAGCCCAGCTCCTATCCTTCTACACGGAATCTACGCGCCGATCGATGCATTCCAAGTTCGCCAAGTTCTCTGCTTTCTGCGAGCAGCACGACCTCGTGGCGCTTCCCGCGCGCCCGTCTTCCATTTATCGGTACGTCCGTTTCCTACGGGAGGAGGGTCGCGTGGGCGTCCGGAGTTTACCTCAGTACCTGGCCGCTATCTCCATGGTGCACCAGTCCCTGGGCCACCTGGAGTTTTCGGCCTTCGATTCCGTCACTCGGCGGCTCACCCGGGCGTGGAGGCGTGACGAGCCGGACCCGGCGCATTCCCATTGTCCGGTGCCTACCGCGGTGCTGCGCGGTATCCTGGAGTTCGGCCTGACTACGGGGGATCTCCGCCTGCTACGCGCGGCTTGTTCCGCCCTCTTGGATTTCATTTTCTTCAATCGCGCGCAGAGCGGCCATCTCATTCTCCTCGAGGACCTACGGCTCGAGAATGGCCTCCTGGTCTTTCGCGAGCGGAAGACCAAGCTCTGCGCGACCACCGGTTAGCTGTGGGATGGAGAGGGAGTTGAGTACGAGGAAAGGGGAGCTGACTCTGGGTTGAGTCACCATCAGGGTGGCATTAAGTACAATGCGAAGCGAGGGCACGTTCAAGTGGGTCGCCAATTGGGTCTTGTATTAGTGGGGTGATGGACACCAAACTGTGTGAATGTAATGTCTTGTCGTGTGGGGAACACGGGGGGGGTTGAAGGAGACCGGTACAGCAGAAAAGACTCCACCACACGACAAGCACAACTCTTGACCACATCACAATGTTATAAACAATCAATACTCACAACCAACAGGATTGTTCAAGAATTCACCAGCTTCATCCCCAACTCAGCTGTCCAAGCACCCTTTGATTCCACCAACACAAGCAAATTGCAGCACTTGGATGTCCAACAAATATTCACTTCAACTCCCAGTCGATTCCAATATCAGTTGGCATTGATCATCCACCACTTGGGCCTCTGATCCAGAAGATCTTCTGTGCTGATCTCAATTCCACTCCAAATGATCCAGAACTTGTCCACACGACTCCTGGACGTTCTCTGAACAATTTTGTCTGATCGGTCTCGAGGCCCAATTCAAGGTCCTTCTTGCCGCTCTCGTACTTTAGGGATGTTTTGGGTCTTGGTTGGTCCCCTGGGCCCAGAATTGGGGGTATGCAAGGGGTTGGCGCGGT